TATTTTACTACAGGTAAAAGATATAGTATAGTAGACGTGATGGCCATGTTGTTTATGACTTTTGGGCTGATATTCTTCACATTAGCCGACAGTCAAGTCTCGCCATCTTTCAATGAAACAGGTAATTCATTTTTATTCATTGCAGAATAATTTTATTTGTAAGCTACTACTATTGCAGATGAGTGAGAACATTAAGAAACATTAGTGAATGCAAGTGTAGATTACTTTAAAATTAGGACTGTAATTCACCATTATGTTGGTTCTCTGTGTTCTGTCATTTTATTATATAAATTGGAGATAAATATGTGTTTTTGTGGGCTTGATCAGCCTTTTTTGTTAGTTGATACAATATATGTGGCCAAGACAAGCCAAACCAGTCACTCCTCGCAAATCATGTTTTAGAGGTAAATGGCAAAAATATGCTGGAATATCAACATTTTCGAAATCTATTTTATAGCACCAAACTAAACATTATATATCTACACATCATGCTATGTTCAATGTTAAAACAACAATTTTTAACAATTTGGTGATGGTTTCTGCCTGAGAAATGCCTGAAATCATAAACTTTGAAGGAAAATTTCTCATTTAAACAGCTGTATGTTTTACCATTTTATAGCTCTCATTGTACTGCTTACAGCTATGTTCACCTCAAGCCCAGATCCGATCAGGAGCCCGGGTAAAAAGTTTTGAGTTTTTAAATTATTTTGAAGGTGCATTCACATCGCTCACGGAAAACGTCTAGAGAGGACATTCATGCTGGTTGCTGATTGGTCTTGGTCTAACAAAAAAAAAAAAAAAAAAAACATACGATTTCACGATACAAATCGCTCTCAGATCCATCTCTCTGGATCTGTAGTCCGGATTTGAAATTGTACGAATTGGATGTGAACGGTCCTATTCATTACCACTGTACTCGTTTTTCACGATTTTTTGTCCTGGCACCGGACTGGATCTGATTGTAGCTTTACCCTGTATTAACTAAAAATAACTTTTTTTGCAAGGAGTTACTGGTTTGGCTTGTCTTTGCCACATATGTTGAAATAGATAGGAATAGAAAGAAGCAATACAGAGAGTACTTTTTTTTTTTACTATCAATCACTCGAAACTAATGAGGCTACTCAAGGTACAGTAAGGGGTTAAATAATTAATAGAAACCGGTTCACAAGAGATTTAAATTGGTACGGTTTATAGACAGAAGGACAACAATATGAAGGCAGTGAGAAACAGAACGACTGATGAATGCCTGTGAAAAGGCTCGAGTCACAGAGGTAAATAGATTGGATGTGAAAGCAAGACAAGTTATGTCTTACAAAACTGAGCCATTGTGGCAAGAAAGGAAACAGCTGTAGTTTCATTATTGTTAATTTTTTAAATGTCTTTTTTTTGTTATGATGTAGTCAATATTTTATACAGTATTATTGTTATTAATTATTGTTTTATTAGGAGTATTAATGATCTCATTAGCATTGTGTGCGGATGCTGTAATTGGGAATATTCAGGAGAAGACTATGAAAGCTTACAATGCAACAAATACTGAAGTGGTAAGTAGTAAATTTTAAACAATCAATCATCATTATTATGTTGATTATCATTACCTCCACTAAGGAGGTTATGTATTCACCACTGTTTCTGTCTTTGAAATTAGATTTTTTCCCCTTCAACTTACCCTCAAGCATAAACGAAAATATTTTGGATTACCTGCGTATTATTAAATACCGAGGTACATTGGGGAGGTACTGTATGCACTCTATGTGACGACTCTAGTTTTATTGTTATTTCCATTTCCTTTCCTATCATTATAACCATTATATTTGCCCGGATTGTCATCACCTTAATCATAGTTCAGGAGGGGTTATTATTATCACCATTATAATCATTATAATCTTTATCAACATCATGGTCATCATGATGATTACAGTATTGTAAAATTATCTTATCAACATTCATCATCAGTATCATAATTTTTATTAAGAACATGGTAATTATCAACATCATCATTATCAACATTATCTTTATTATCATAGGTGTAGATCCCGGGGGATGAGGGGATATATCCCCCTAATATTTGACAAGGGGGGATGGTCCATTGTATCATACCCCCCCCCCCCAATATTTTGACTATGTATGGAATAAAATGGAGCTTTACACAGTTCAAAAGACTGTCCCAGAAATAATTTACAATGTCTTATGCGCTTACAAAGATGAAAATTAGCATAATGTATTAATGTTGATAACAAAATTATTTTATCTGGTACCAATCTAAGCTCTTCTTTCCTTAGATGTTAGATGTGCTTGCAAAGAAGCCACATTTTCACACTGAAGGGTTTGTACGACATCAGTATTATGTCAATTCCAAGAATGTTTAAGGTTATATCGGTTGATGAGGAATTTATTGATCAGGCCTAAAATAGCAAATTGCATCAATTTATTTTGCAAAAACAAGGTTTCCAGCTTCAGAGGGGGCAAATCCAGTGTCAGCACAAGGGTACACATTGGCGCTAATACCAGGCGCGTAACAGGGGTCTTGGGTCAGGGGGTATTTATTTTCCTGGTTAGTAATTTATCATACCCACCGCACCCCACTCCCCATATAGAAAACCATACGACATAGGGCTTATCTTATTTATAATATAGGCCACACACGTGTGTTTGAAACTAAATACAAGCATTTTCATCATGGTTTTATTTAACAGTAAGAAAATGGTAGCACTTTATAGACTAGGTGAAATATTTATTGTCACAAGCTTTCATGTAGTACACTTCTTCAGGTGAATGATAAGATTGTTCTTAAAATTACCCTTCTTAACTACAGCAACTCTAAGATTATTGATAGTGTCACCTGTGGAAATGAAATGTCAGCTACAGGTTTCTTAACTTACAGTATGTCTAATGTCAAACTTGTGACCATTAATTCTATTTCTGAGAGTTTGACCAGTTTGACCAATATAAACAGCATTGGGGCATATATTGCACGTAATGGCATAGATGATGTTAGTGGATGAGCAAGTGAAGTGTCCTTTGAATGTTGATGATATAGCCATTGGGTCCAAGTATGTGACTTTCAGAATGAATAAGATGGCAAAGCTCACATTTAGTGCTATGACAAGGAAAAGTGCCATTGATAGGGGTAGACTGAGAAAATTTACTAGAGATAAGATGCCTTTTAAGATTGGCTGGCTGTCTGTAAGCAAGAAAAGGCTTGTCATGAAATATGTGTTTGAGATCATTGTCTTGCAGTAAAGGCTGAAGATTGTCAATGATACGTTGCAGAGGTTTTATAGCTGTATGATATGTAACGACTAGAGGAATACGGTTAGATGATTGCTTCTCTTTGTATGTGAGGAGATAACTGCGTTTATGTTTCTTGGCTCTATTGATCTGTTGTGTGATAGTATGTTGATCATAATTGAGTTGAGTAAATGTGTGTGAGCAAGTTCGTCCGAGTTTTGGTCTCTGTCAACAGTATCAGAGCATATGCGGCTGTAACGTAGAGCTTGGCTGTATATGATCGAGCGAGTTGTGTGTATGAGGTGAAAGCTGGATGCATATAAGTATTGCTGTGTGTCGGTAGGTTTTTTGTAGAAGGAAGTGGTGATTTTACCATTACGTACATATACCTTGACATCAAGGAAATTAACGTTAGAATCCGATATGTCTACAGCATCTACATGGTTTTATTTATTACAAACAAACATACTGTATTCTTTCACCATCAATACACATTGAGGCCCTTCTTCTAGGTTGAAATGATCTATCTTAAATTTTTCTTTCTTGAGTTTGGGATTATTATGTTTTTAAATGACTTAAAAGGATAAACCTAAAAAAAAACCTAAAAAGTGCGCAATACATTTTCGTGTTTTTAATTCTAATTTCGTCGGAATTGATGAAAACTCCCTAAAATGTGCAATTTATAGAGGAAATTTTTTAGGCACTTTCAGGGGATATAAAGGAGTGGGAAAATTTTCCAAAGATAATTATTTTCCCCTTGTCCCCCAGTGGTTACGCCATCGGGCAGCATAGATCAAGGAGTTATGACAGTTTTTGAAGTGGAGAAGGGGTTGCAGGGTGTTGTGAGTCTGGTCGTTATGATATCTTCCTTTTTGTTCTTGTCTTTATTTTTCTCTTCTCTTTTTCTTTTCCTTTCCTTTTCTTTTCCACTTCCTACTCTTTCCCTCCCTCTCCCCTCTTTCTTTTCTCTTATTACACAGCCCGGAACGACGGGTTGGTCAGCCCGGTAAAAACCGTCAGGGGAGGGTCTGCCCCCCTCCCCCGCCACTGGCTAACACGCCAATCATCCACCTAATGAAAAATACTTTCCTACGCCACTGTTTATTATCGACATTCATTCATTGTCAACTATTGCCTTAATATTTTCTATTCACATTTGTAATTGCCTATTATTTTATTCTTGTTTACAGGTTTTGTATTCATATGCCATTGGTAGTACCTATATATTTCTAGGCCTGCTACTTCATGGTAGTTTATTTGAAGCATTTATTTTTTTCTATCGGCATCCGTATGAGACATTTGGTTATGCAATCGCCTTCTCTCTAACTGGATACATTGGCATTCTCTTCGTCCTGTCTCTAGTCCGTCAGTTTGGTGCCCTCACAGCTGTAACTGGTATTACATATTTTCTTCATTATTATCTATTAGTGATATTGCTTATTCTTAGATTGTTTCATAATTTTTTTTGTTTTTTAAGCTGTTAGCTTTGTCTGATAATTAACTTTTTTATGTTATAATTAATTATTAATTTATTTAATTTTTTTATTCTGGAAGTCTACTGCACAAAACCATCTGATTATTATTGGAGATTTCTTCTTATGTCCTATTTTTTTTTTTAAGCACAATATTTTACCTTACAGTAACTACCTGTCGTAAAGCTGTTACTATGGTGTTGTCCTTTCTGTTCTTTACAAAACCATTTACAATGCAGTAAGTATATCTTTTTTTCTATTTATTTCACATCAAAGAGCAAATAAACTGGTGTTTCAGCTGAAGGCCAGAAATATACAGTAGCTTTGATAGCGTAAATTAGACGTTAAGCCGTTGGTCCTGTGTGCAGTATGACCATGTGCATGTTAAAGAACGCTGTAGAAAAGAGTAGGGAATTCAGAAATGCTTGACCATGCACACTTGATCAATAATTAGCTTGTTTGCGAGTACACCCACAGTACCATACTCCTCTTTTGCTTTGTTTTCTCTCCTCTTTTTTTTTTTTTTTGGGGGGGGGGATCCACCCTGCTGATGCTGCTAAAGTTACCAAGATACACGTAGGGCACACACACAGATTTTACGTTGCTAACTGTCACATGCAACAATCCTTGTTACAGCTTTATAAGACTTTGTTATTATGTTTGTATAGTGGCCTGTTTCTGCTGAGCAAAACAACATGTGTTTTTAAACGGTTATTAAAAAACACTTCAGTTTCCATAGGTGATCGTCATTATAAGCTCTGCCCACCTACCAATGCTCGCCATTACTGTGTTTATATTAGTTGCACTTTAAATTGGAAACGCGTTCCGATGGAATTTAACCCTTTAAAGTTAAACATGTGTTTTTGCCATTATTCAGTAGAAACATGCCTTGTGAAATAGCTATAATGCTGCTTTACAGTGCAGCTGTGGTTTGAGTGATCATTAATTCTCAAGCCGTAGCGTTTCAGTAGGATGTAGAACGTAATGATGTCACTAAAAGTCATCTGCGCATGCAAGAACGTTAAGGTCACCTCGTTGAGTAGTTTTTGGAATGCAATTTGGCCAAATCTAGGTATGCAGAGAATGAAGGACGCCATGTAGGACGGTCACGAATGAGTGATTACGTTCTAGCATTGCGTCGTCGCACAAGTCGAAACCTCCCTTATGTCTGTACCGTGGAGGTCTCTAGGCTCAATTCCCATCGCTGCTCTACTTGTGCAGAAAGACTCCACTGGAAACTAATCTTTGGACTTGATGGGGTTCTTTAGTGTGATTCACACCAAAATACTCCTATCCTGTCCTATAATTTGAGCAATATTGCACCACTTAAAATGATTACTTTTGACAGTTATAAAATTGTCTAAATAGGATCTATGCATCTAAAACAGTAGGTTGATTGTATATTATTCAATGTTTAAATCTTTACTAGATTAAGAAAGTTATTAGGCTGCACATTATTAATTTTTTTCTTATTATAATTATTATTTATTATCATTAATTTATCGCACATCTGACTCATGTAGAACAATGTTTGTGCGTCATTTTTATTTACAATTTTAATGCATTTGATAATTGTTCATGGGTTATGCTCATTTATTTTGTTATGGTTATTACTACACAGAAAACTGAACCATGGAGATTATTACAACCCTCATGTTTCGATTATTTAATTATAAACTATAGTGTTGTAGTTATAAATTATAGTGGTGTAAAGTACAAATACCAGTGTAAATATTGTACTGAATGTTTTATTTTGTGTGCTTATTTCAGGTATGTTTGGTCTGGTATGCTAGTCCTTCTGGGTATATTCATCAATGTGTATAGTAAAAATAAAAGAGCTATGGATCCGTGGTTCACCTTGCAGATAAGAAAGTGTAGGATGCTGTTATTAAGGCAGAGAGAAAGCTTACCTAAAGCTCCTGAGCTACATGTTTAACCCAAAGATGGGAGAACCATACATTACTTATCTTCTTCGTTCCCTCTGGTACGCAAGTCTGCAACAACAATCCTCCATTAATTTCTGGTCTTCTTTTCTGCCTCATCCAATGTGAGATTTTGATTCTCCAGCTCTGACAAGACAGTTTTCCTCCATGTGGTTGGATGATTTGGATGATAGATGGGGATGAGGGTTGGGGATAAGAAATGCAAGGTTTGAATTTCCTCAAAATGCTCCATCAGCAAATAGATGCTGCAGGGTATGGCTTTACTACAGCAAATTTGTATTCTTCTAAAGCAAAAAGCTTCGTAAATTGTTTTAAGAATAGGCCTACATTATTCTATAAAAGTAAAGCTGGACACTCACTGCATCCCACGACGCTAGTACGACCGTCGCACGACGTGCTTATTTGACATTTGAAGTATATTAATAGATGTTTAAGATATATATTTGCTGCGAAGCAGCCAATTTATATTCTTGACAGCAATTTGACCTCTGAATGAAAGGTCATTGTTTGTCAAAAAACGAGTGCCTAAGACGACTGAAAAGCGGAGTTTCCTTCTTTCGTTCTGCCGGGTAAAATCAATTACTTAGGCGACGTTTGTAGACTAACCTACTCGTACCAACGTCTGCATGTCGCGCTAGCCTTATCCTACTCTAGGCCTAGACTAGCTAGGATGGTATATAGGCCTAGCCTTGAAGGGACGAAGGTCCCAATGAAAAACAACGTCGCTCTTTGATTGTCTATTTAACATCACAATAATTCATTATTAAACCTATAGTTGTTTTTTGAATTGTACTCCAC